CGTTCTATTCGTGTGAAGACGGTAGCCACTTAACTACACTAACAGTCAGAGCAGCCCCTGTTATTAGTGTTGCTTCAAAATTTTAGGAAGGGAGACTTGAAATCAATCACGACACAAGAAGCAGCACGATTAAGGGCCTCGCCACACCACCGCTGTCGAAACAAAAAAGTTACGAGAGCATGTTACCACAGGGAATGCCCGGAGTGGTGAGATGCGTTTGTTACTATGAATAGTAATGGATGCATCTTGCCACTTTCTGGGGAAGATGCGCTCGCATTTCTTTTCGTTTCGACAGTGGCGGTGTGGCGAGGCCCTAATCGGAATGATGTCTATCCCTTTTGCATGGAAAAAGAAGCCATGCAGCTGGCACGCCCCTGTATTTAGACATTGCAAATCGTAATGGACGATTTGTACCAGGCAGCCGTGAATTTGCCTGGGGATTCGAACGGTGAATCGACATCGTTGGGTTCATCAGGTCTATGCTCTCTTGTGTCGGCATTGCTGGATGCTAAGGATGACCAGAGGTGTGTGTGTGTGTGTGTGTGTGTGTGTGTGTGTGTGTGTGTGTGTGTGTGTGGCCCCCCCCTACAGCCCCCTGAATTCCTAAAATAGCTCAGGGCCCCTTGACCCCCCTCCCCGCCTCCCCCGTGCAATCCCCCCACCCTTCCTTTTTGGGAATGAGGCTGGATATGGATGGTCCTTGCCGTGCTCATTGGAGCCTTATGGATCCAGGTTGAGGGGAGGGTGTGGCCAGGCAATTTTTCTTATTTACCTCGATTTTGCAAAGTTTCTCTATACTGAACAGCTTGGCAGCCCAGTTAAGAAGTAGCCAGCTGGTTCAGCCGACTTGTGAGGGATGTCCCAATGGATGGTGGGCTATAAAGGGTTGTGGGGGTATCGGGGATGCTTTGAGACGGGCTAGTCCGTTAGGAGGCTGGACACACCTGCAGTCATTTTTCTATCCCTAAGCAGCATTACCACCCAGGCTGCCTCTGGTTGGCCCGGGCGACCCAGGGGTGCCCGGTCCGGGCAAGGTCCCAGACCACCAAGCACAAAAAAATATAAACTCCAAAGAATTTGAAAAAGAAAAAAACAATGTTGTGCAGAATTGCAAATCAAACAACTTTTGGCCGAGGGTCCTTCTGAAATTCGTTAGAAAATTGAAAAAGAAGAAGAAAATAAAAATTTAAATCCTCACACCCCAGTTGCTGAGACATCACGAAATTCGAAGACCAGGCCAGATTTGGGCACATCTCATCTTAATGGGTGCAGACATGCCCCACAGTTGGGCCAAAAAGAAAAACCAAAACATACGACCGCCCTTTTTCTGTTCCCCGGGTACCCCGGTCAGGTTTGCCCGGTGTCGGCCGGTTTCGTGACTCTGGTAGCCCTTGGTGATTCCTGAGTGCTTTCCAGTGTGCGATGTCAACCTCTGCATGCGGACATTTTTGTCTTGCATGCGGACAAGTCTTATTGCATACTCGCACTACCGTCTTCACCCGAATAGAATGCCCGGTCATTATAGCCGCATCTGGTGCAATTTTCAGTTGAGATACAGCTATAACGGCCGGGCATTCCATTCGGGCGAAGACGGTAGGACTTTTTCTACTAAGCTCTGGACGGGATTGCAGTCAGATNATTCGGGCGAAGACGGTAGGACTTTTTCTACTAAGCTCTGGACGGGATTGCAGTCAGATTCGTCCAGGTCTGGCCGTAATTGCAGTCAGATGCATTTCGGAAAATGCTGGTGTGAGTATGACCGCCCTTAAGATGATGAGAATAGCATGTGAAAGATCGACGAAGTTACTTGGAAAGTTCTGAAACCTCAGATCTTTTTGCCATGTATCAATCACAAGCTTAGTGAAGAGGCACATGTGAGACTGATATGTGCTTCTTCAGATCTTTTTTTTTTTTTTTTTTTTTTTTTTTTTTTTTTTTTTTGAGGCCGGTTACTAGGCACACATTGATCGCCAGGAGCGGTCAGCCATGCTCTACCTGAGGGAACGAGCTTACCTTCCCATCCCATATTTAGCTATGCAAAGTGATTAGTGACGATAGACATGTGGCATGTGTGTTGAGTTTTTTTTTCTTTTTTTTTTTCTTTTTTTTTGTATTTTTTTTTTTTTTTTTTTTTTTTTTTTTTTTTTTTTTTTTAAATGGGAAGGTGAACCGTGAAAGTGATGGGTGTAATAATATTTGCTGTGTATACGTACTAATATACGACAAGCTTATTACTAAGCTATTAGTGAACAACAGGCGCATGAGACTCGTTGTCTTACCTGCGGCGGTTGGTTGCTTGTGTGCTGCAGGTCCTCACAACGGTTGCGGAAACCCTGTTTGAACAAATGTATGGTGGCGATGATTACTCTCGTGGAGCAACGAAGGCGAAGCTTTCAGCCATCACACAAAGCACAGATAGCATCTTGACTTTCATTGAACTGGCTGGTATCAGCGGCCACCATTTTGTATATCTTATACTACACAATATAGACGGTCCCGCAATGAGAAGCGCCGATGTACAGGAAGCCCTGAGCCAAGTGGCAGCCTGCAAAGCTGTGCACGTGGTCGCGTCGGTGGACCATATTCATGCTCCTCTTTGTAAGTTCCATTCCTCTCTGCCTTTGGAGCTCCACCTGGTCCCGTTCGCTGTTTGCGCTCGTCCCTGGCATACGGTCCTGCCAGCACGCGTTGTCTTGACTCTTGAAATGAAAATTAAATTTAATTAATAACTATGTTTAATTATCTTTAATGATGTCCATTTATGGTAAAGCGTGCTGGCAGGACCCTATGCCACAGACAGTCGTCCGGTCCCGTTTTAAAAACCTATGCATTGGGATCAGGGAATACGGTCTGGTCCTGGTTTAAAAACCTATGCAACGGGCCCGGATGTGTGGGACTGTCCCGGGCGTCCGTGTTGTCCGTACGGATGACGCAGACAGTCGTCTGGTGCGGGTTAAAAAACAGAAAGAAAACACTGTTCTTCTTGTGCGCTGCAGGGTGCCTGGAAGGTCCTCAATCTGCTGTCTATGCCTGAGGCAAGACTGTGTCTGGTTCTTCGGCACGCAAGACAGTGTGCTCCAGCACGCCAATGCGCCTTCCTGTGGTGATTCTGCCCAAGGCACCTTGGTGTGCTGCTTTCGGGGAAGACGAGAGGGTTTGCTGTCGGCAGACCAATGCGCCTTGTTATGACGATTCTGCTCAAGTCAAGATGGTGTGCTGCAGTGTAGCAATTTTTTTCGGGGTTCTGCCTCTTCCCAAGGCAAGACAATGTGCTGCTGCTGCCGACGACAACGTGTGTGCCCAAGTCTCACATTGGTGTACTGCTTTCGGGCAGGCCGAGACGGTCTCCTGCTGCGGCACGCCAATGCGCCTTGCTTTGCTGAGGCTGCACAAGGCAAGATGGTCTGCTGCGGCACAGCAAGACTTCTTCGAGTGCTGCTTCTTACCAAGGCAAGACAATGTGCTGCGTCCGCCGACGGCAACGTGTGTGCCCAACTCACCTTGGTGTGCTCCTTTCAGGCACGGCAAGACGGTGTGCTGCAGCTCACAGATATGGCTTGCTTTGCTGATGCTGGCTAAGGCAAGACGGTCTACTGCAGCATAACAATTGTTTTTGGAGTGCTGCAGCTGCCCAAGGCAGGACAGTGTGCTGCTTCCACGCAGGACAACGTGTGGGTTGTGTGCTGTTTCTGCCCAAGGATTTCAACTTTTCGGAAGATTTCGCACTTGAACTACTTTTTTTTTTTGTGTTACACTGTCACTACTAAATATGACATTGCGCTCCGCGAATGACAGCGCTCGAGAAACCGACAAACCATTGGTACAGAGTACAGAGCTGGCGTAGCTCAGTGGGTACTCCCTTCAGTTCGATGACCATATCTCAAGGCCGTCTCCCTTTTGAAAAGGGGAAAAAAAACAAGTAAAACAATACGAACAATGTAGAGTCCGACCGGCCCCTTGGAGACGGTAACTTAACCCCGGTCAGGCGGGACACCTTTAGGAATTCGATGTTTTTTTTTTTTTTTTTTTTTTTTTTTCAATGCGTGTCATCC